TTTCAGCACACTAAGCCATTGGGAAAGAGGACCCTGACAAACAAAAGCTTTCAGAAATAAAACTAAGCAAAACCCCTGTCTCCTCCCACTGTTGAGTCCTGTACCCACCGAAGACACTCCTTGGCTACTATGTTTCTTTTCAGAGACATTCCCACTTCTCTCGGTTAGCTTTACTGCACACCCCTCGGGGTTATTACTTGTTTTGGAATGTTAATGCACTCTTAATGTTTCAGGGTATTCAAACTAGCAAGTTTAACAAAACCAAGCCATCAGACATAGTGCATTTGTATCTTAAGACACCAGAATCCCAATTCCACGACCAAAACGCTTGAGTCGGAGCTCAGTTTCTCCCAGGGCCCATTCAGGACAGCTTGGGAGTCGCTCTTGTGAAACTAAGTCTGTCCTTGTTCAGACACCCAACCCTCAGACCCAGGCACCGCCGGCCACCCTCCAATTTTACACAGAGGAGGAAAAGTCTCCAATTCATGCGCAGCAGGGGCATGTGCTATGTTTAATTCTGGCCGGTCTGTGTCAATATAAATAACACAGCTATTTTGACGCCACAATCAAAGAATGCAAGGGAAAATGAAGGAGGAACAAATGATAAAACGAGCTCTTTTTTGCGCGGCAGTAGAAAGTATCCCATCAAATAGCATGCATGCCGAGTTCCTTAAAGTAGCACTTACATTCCTAAACCAAAATACTGCAATCTTATTAATAGAGCGGCACGAAAAATGATCTGGAAACGACCCTGTTAGGAGAACCCCACCCCGGCTTCCCCTCCAGGCAGCCCTTTAATGGCACTTCTCACACAACCACGGGGTGTGGGGTGGACCTCAATGTTTAATCATCTTTAATCAAGATGGGAGGCCGAAGGGCAGGTTCATGGGGGAAAGGCCTTTCTCTGGCACGTTTAATTAAGACTTTCGTGACTTGCCGTTAGGTCAGCGCGGTGCGCGGCCCAGGGTCCCGCAGCCCTGCCCTTTGTTACCCCGTGGACCCCGCCACGGGCACCCCGCGGCTGCCAGCCCGAGCCCGGAGCGCACGCACGCTCCCCACGGCCGACACGCATCAGTCCCCCCTGCAGGACACAACTCCACGCGCGGCAGCCCCGCACGGGGACGCCCGGGCCCGGCGCCTCCGGCACCTCGCGCCAAACGCGCGCGCTGCCCCGACCCGGACGATGAATATGACACTTATGTAATCGCCGGGG